AGAGATACATTAGAAATAGATAAATGCTAATTCTGAGTGCGGCTTCGGTGGAGGATTATGAAGCAGTCTATCGTTATGCTAATCTCCTTTTACCTGATTAGCCCTAGTGGATTGAAACCTCAGCAGGACAACATACAAACATGAATGGTTTTCCAAACACTGTTCTCAATTCAGGGAAGAATGTTGGTACTTTTAATGTTGCTAAATCAAAAGACTGCCCTCTATTGGCACATTTTACACTCCAACCTTTTTACTTCTCATTTCAGAAAGCTTTACCTGATTTCCCAGAACCATGACAAAGTAAGTTTTTGCATATTCATTTATTCCAAGCATGTATAAATACTTTAAATATTAGACATTAAATCATTTAAAACATCATAATCAACATTTAACAGGCATTTAAGACCATGATTTCTCTGTATCCTAAAGACTATTCAATATTTTATTCATATTTATGACACCTCTCTAGATTAAGCAGCCTTCGTGTAATGCTCCTACACCCTGTTCATTAGCAGTATTAAATCTGTAGAAGTCTTTTTGGTCTTCAATCCTAGTGGATTAGCAGATTATAAGAAATCCCTTTTAGAGTGGATTGACAGAATTACCACAAGAGTTTAAAAGTAACAGTGCAAAGCTTAGCATATGCAGATGACTAATCACCTCATGGAGACTAACATTTTAAAAGCATGCAAAAGCAACAGATATATAACTATCATAATGATTATAAGTGATTATAATATCATGACATTATGTTTCTACAGAGTTTACAAGAAGACTAGTGGCAATGGTTCAGTAAGGCTCCTTTTATATTGCTTATACATCCTCTTACTTGTCATCTGCTCCTCGTGCACATGCTCTCAACCAGGATTGTCAGATCTGAGTAATAAAACTAGCCCAGTGACCCTAGCCCAAACATCAAAACTCAAAACATGCCACTCCAATACCTAAAATAGATATTTTACAGTCACTGTTATGCATTACACACGATTTGAAATCACTATATAGGCTAGTAGTAATCATAAAAACTGTCTGTTTTCATAAAGGACCTCACAGTAGTTCAGTGGCTCCAATCCCTCACAAAACTCATCATCTAGCACAGTTTTATCATTAGTAGAATATAAAATAGGTCAAATATATCAATTTAGGCATTTCAGTCAAATATAATTTATGCAACATGTCGAACCATTGCATTTTATGCAATATGTCAAACTGGGAAAACAACAACCCCCGGGAACAGATTAAAAATAGCCCAGTTCCGCAGGAAAACCGCAGACTTGGCAACCCTGCTCGCAACATATTTATAAGACACAAGCACACATGATAATCAACTCAGTAATCATTTATTACAGTTATGCCTTTATTTGGGGAGAAGAGACTTTGTGGACCATGTGGAACGTATTGACCCAGTTGGTACGTTCTAGGCTACTTTACGTTGAAAAAATATTATTCCCTAACATTGTGGGAAGTTTTAACTTCTACTTTTTTTTTATTAAATGTATATATGTACTGTATATCTATACACACTACACTTTTCTAGTTAAAAGACTTGTAATTTCCCTCTCAGATGGGGTGCTCAAGATCGATCCTTCAGCTCTTAATGGAAGGAAGGGTATGATTTAATGTAATACGTTGTCAATATGAAAATTTGTCATTAATTTAAATCATTTAGACAATCTAAATTATTTAATTTTTTAGTTTGGGTACAGCTTGCATGTGCCTTCCGCTATGGCAGAGAGGATATGGATGTGATTGGAATTTCCTTCAGAAAAGACATCTGGATAAAGCGCATTCAGATGTATCCCTTTGAGGGAACCAAGCCCCCAAACACACCAATACAGGATGCGCTTTTGAAGAAAGCTGGAGACCAAGGACATCCCTTCACTTTTGATGTAAATTCACAATTATGCATTAAGCATTGAGAAAACAATCAAGGACACCCTTCATTTGTGTCTCTCCTGTTCTGTCTCAGATTCCAGTACATCTCCCATGCTCAGTGTCCCTTCAACCAGCACCAGAGGACGCCGGGAAGGTACAGTAGCAGAAATACATGAACATACACAAATACACTCACAAACAGAAAACTGTTTCTCTAATATGTAACATGTTTACTCTTACAGCCTTGCGGAGTTGACTATGAAGTCAAAGCATATACTGCAAATGAAGAAGACGAGATAGATGAAAAAGTTGACAAGAAGTATGTACTGCTCCATTTTAACATAAAGATACTCTCAAACGAAATGAATAAAGTTTTATTCTGATTCCAATATTTCTACCAATAATAGGGACACTTGCCGTTTGATTATACGTAAAATCCAGTATGCACAAAATGAGCTAGCAGCCGGACCCAAAACTGATCTCCACAAACAGTTTATCACTGCAGACAAACCAATTCACGTGGAGGCCTCCATGGAGAAAGAGGTACAGTGTTTTAAATACCTGTTGTAGATCATTTATGAAATTGGGATGTTTTCATCATATGCAGTTCTGCATTCACTGTTCACTGTTGATTTCTCACCCTTCAGCTCTACTATCACGGAGATCCCATTCCTATCAAAGTGAAAGTGAATAATGAGACCAGTAAAGTAGTGAAGAAAATCAAAATCAGTAGTAAGTATTTTTATTATTCATTTTCATAAACAAAACAGCCAGTATTCATCTACTTACGCAATGTAAAAGTGATATATACGATTTTTACATATAC